AACAAGCATGAAGTAACAATGAACAATAGTATGCATACATTAGCATTAAGCAAGATTATTTATTTATTTATTATTATTATTCATTTATTTTTTAAATAAATGATCATTAACCTTTTGTCATGTTTATTCAGTCATTTGTTTGTCTGCCAAAATAATAAAATGTACGAATGTGAATTGTCTCCATTTAGGGGGCTTTTCTCACCAAATATAATATTGATATATGTGGTTAATTGTGAATAATTAGCATTATTACTCAACATATCCTGAAATGTATTCATTAACAGTTGTGAATAGATGGATAGCACTAGTTAAAAACTAATCAAGTACTTTCAGTCATTTTGACAAGTTTTCCTGTTTCTAACTTGTTTTCTCTCTTTTTTCTGTGCAGTATAACAAGCATCTTTTCGTGCACATCGGTCAGGCAAATCACTCGTACAATGATGCCTTGCTCGAGTCAGTGGACATTCGTCAGATTTACGACAAATTTCCTGAGAAGAAAGGAGGGCTGAAGGAATTGTTTGGCAAGGGTCCTCAGAATTCATTCTTTCTCATAAAGTTCTGGGTGAGTGAATCTCTGCAAAGAATGAGCATCTGTTTAGCGATTCACATACCCCCCCAAACATGCACGGGACAATTATCCACAAAAGAAGACATCGAAACACACAATTAGTCCAAGAAAAACATAGTATTTTTTTATTTAGGCTTAAACATAAACACACATGCAGTGTGCTGTGAAATGTATGCCCAGCCTGTGCCGAGGTTTCTACACTAATGAGAGCGAAATTACCACAGTTCATGTTTACCACGCATACAACTGCCTATTTAACGCAAATATTTATCCACCGAGTGATTACATGCATGAATAATTGTGCATTTCCCTAAAGACACTGGGCCACTTTAGTTTTAAAGACAGCCGTCTCTGTTTACGCCGCTATATTTAGCACGGCATAGCTGAAGTGTTCATGATCAAAGCTCACACTTATTCCGTTTAATATCGCGAAACAATTGGATGACCTGGTTGCTTCTCTAATAGCTATTCAAACATTGCATGCATTTTGTGAAATGCTAACTAGCGGCAACCAACAAAGTGGGCCTCGTCGCGGAGGCTGCTCGAATTCCGTTTGAAGTGAAAGAGGGATCTGAATTTCAAATGAAACTCTGGATCTGCACAATAATGCCTCTCTTGAATATGATGTGAAAATGTAACAGGCTTGTCTTAATGAAAAGAGAGTATGCCAGAAATGAATATTTGAGCTCTCTCGGTAATGAACATTGTGTTAGCTTACTGAAAGAGCGGAGTGCGAGCTGTTCTTTTTGCCACTCTTTTTCAGATTTTTTTTACTCAAAGTTATTTAATCCATTCTTTCTAACCTTAGACAGCCTTTTTCTTTAATACCCGAATAGACTAAAATGTAGAAATAGCCAAGGTTTGGTAGTTTAGTGTAGGTATAATGCAAGCTAAAAGGAATAGTTTCCATGAATTAACATTTACTCACCCTCATGGTCTTCCATAACTGACTTTTTTCTTTCATGTAACACCAATATACTGCCATAGTGGTCTTTTCATAATGTGGATGGATGACAAAAAAGCACTATAAAAGCATTTTAAAAGTTTCATACAAGTTCCTTGTCTATGTGAGGAACAAACTGAAGTATACGTTTTCAAAATCCTCCATATAGGTTTTTTTTAGCTGTGCTTACAGTCTCCACTAGATGGCAGTTTTGTATTGAATGTTATATGTTGATAGATCTATCCGTTTGCTGGTGTAGATTTCTCTGTAATAGAAGTATTTGACAGTGTAGCTTATTAAATTGAGAATTAAAGCTACAATCTCATTGCTTCATAGGCTGACTTGAACTGCAACATTCAGGACGAAACTGGGGCTTTCTATGGAGTGAGCAGTCAGTACGAGAGCCCGGAGAACATGACCATCACCTGCTCCACAAAGGTTTGCTCGTTCGGCAAACAGGTCGTGGAGAAAGTGGAGGTAAATTTCAAGCATTCATTTTTAAGTACAGTTGTATTGTCTAAATGGAGCAATAAATGTTCTTCCTCTAATACGAGTTTCCCAGAGGAAAATGTAATTGCTCTTTTATTACTCAGGACACTTAATGGAGTTCTTAGTTGTTAGTCTGAAATTTCTTAGAAGGATAAAAAAAAAGAAACACATTGTCTTGGGAGAATTTGATGAGAAATCTCAGAATTGTAACTGAAGACTGATATCTTAATCCAAACACAATTTGAGGCATTGAGATTTAGATTTTTTTTTAATGTTTCGTCATACAAAAAAAAATCTGCACTAAATCATGGTGGTTTTTAAATGTACATTTACTGGTCAAAAGTTTGGAATAATTCAAATTTTTTTATGTTTTTGAAAGACTCTCATGTTCACCAAGGCTGCATTTTTTATTATAAATACAGTAAAAACAGTAATGCTGTAAACTATTATTACAGTTTAAAAGAACTGTATGGTTTTAATATATTTAAAGAAATATTATTGTGATGTTAAATGCTGAATTTTAGCAGCCATTATTTCAGTCTTCAGTGTCACATGATCCTTCAGAAATCTTTCTGAATATGCTGATTTGGTGCTCAAGAAAGTGGTTTTGCTGCCTAATATCTTTGAGGAAACCGTGATGCACTACAACTCAAATTTCAGTGTAAGAAAAAAAAAAAGAAAGAAATGCTTATATTCAGCAAGGACCCATTAAATTGATCAAAAGTGTCAGTAAAGACATTTATAATGTTACAACAGATCTCTGTTTCAAATAAGTGCTGTTTTTTCAAAGAATCCTGAAAAACATGTTTCCACAAAAATATTAAGTAGTATTATTAGCTGTTTTCAAAAGTAAGAATATACCATTATTAATAATTGAGCAGCAAATTAGCATATTAGAATGATTTCTGAAGGATCATGTGACACTGAAGACTGGAGTAATGATGCTGAAAATTCAGCTTTGTTATCAGGGGAATGGATTACATTTGAAAATATATTCAAATAGAAAACAGTTATTTAAAATTGTAATAATATTTCTTAATTGTGCTGTTACAGTGTCAAATAAATGAAGCATTGGTGAACATAAGAGATTTATTTTAAAAACAAACTTAATTTCACATTTTCTGGTAGTGTATATGTAATGATGCTTTCTGTTGTGCATTCTCACATCTCTCTCTCATCTGTCCTCTCAGACGGAGTACGCTCGCTTTGAGAATGGACGCTTTGTTTACCGGATAAGTCGATCTCCAATGTGTGAATACATGATCAACTTCATCCACAAACTCAAACGCCTGCCTGAGAAATACATGATGAACAGCGTCCTGGAGAACTTCACCATCTTATTGGTGAGTCAGTGATGATTAAACCAATGAGTGAGAGCTTTCAGTGCAGGGCGGAGCCTGTGGCCTCTGAGCAGAGACGACCCAGAATTCCTGGCATTCCTGTGGCGCTTTGCAAAGCCTGATAATCTCCTGCAAAGGGGGAGGAACCCCTTTCTCTAACCTTCACCCACACAAGGATTAGAGCCCTATTCTCTCCTATAGTGAGGGTCTTACTAATGCACTTTCCCTGCTCTCTTCCTTCAAATCCCTCACATCCTGGTGCTGTGCATCTGTAAACCTGCTCTCCTGGGTTGCGACTCTCACCTGCCGTGGAGGTTTTAGTTGTTATTATTGATTGAGGGAGGATGTGTGTGTGTGTGTGTGTGTTTATAGTGAATGCTTGTGTACAGTATATGTTGTTGAAGGGTGGTGGCATTGGTATTAACATTCCTCTCAGGTGATCCGATCACATACATCACTAAATGTTTAATATTGGTTTAAAAAAAGTTTAAACCAATATGTGAAAAATGATCCTATCACTGAAACTGCTTTTTAAATGTTGTTTTGTCTTAATGCAACCCAGACTTACCTAAAAAAGCCACAATTGAACCAAAACAAGTGTTTTATACATTGTCAGTTGATTCTGGCTTTAAAAAAAATTTTTAATTTGAAAAATTGGGAAAAAACAAAAAAACTAACAAATCAAAAGACTTACTGCACCTGAAATCAATATGCACCCATTCAAAGTGATGTATGCAGTCAAAAATGTAAAAACCTTCCTGGATGAAATCCATTTACAAATCAAATCAGTGCACAGGTAGATCTCACAAAAACTTGTCCAAAACTCGAAAATCAAAAGAAAAAATCTGAATGCCCATTAAAATCTACCATTTAACTATTTTAGAATCGATCAGAAATATTGTTTGCATTGTCCCATCATTTTCAAGGCAGTTAAGCACATTTCCCCACATCAAATTTTCATTACTGTTATGTGAAGATTTTTAAATATTCATTTTAGAATGTTAAAGGATTTTATTTATTGATTGATTTATGTATGTATGTATGTATGTATTTATTTTATTTCTGGTGATTTTCATTAGATTGTTATTGCTGTTATTATATATATATATATTTTACATTTTATTTATTTTTATTTATGAAAGAGACAAAACGTCTCCAGGTTACGCATGTAACCATGGTTCCCCGAAGGGAACGAGACGCTGCGTCGAAACGCTACGGGAAAGCCTCCAGTGTGACCACGCTCTGAATCACATGTGTAATCAGTCCAATGGATGGGCGCGACGTCACGGGTGGGGTGACGTAGCAACCAGGAAGCATAAAAGAATTTGCGATGAAACCGGTGTCAGCTTCTAGGAGTGAAACAAGCGCTGGCAGGGATGCCGAAAGTATGGCCCTGACACGCAGCGTCTCGTTCCCTTTGGGGAACCATGGTTACATGCGTAACCTGGAGACATTCCCCTTCAGGAAGACACGTTTGGCAGTAGTTTTGACGCTGCCAAATAGTCTACTAAGGGAATCAGTCTCTTGAGACTGACCTCTGGTGTGATCAGAGCGGCTTCGTAGAGGTAGCGAGCCTCCTAGTACTGCTACGTTTCTGGGCTGTAACTAAGAGAAGCGCTCGCCGGAGACCGCTGCGCCCTGTAGCACCGGCAGGGTTGGCAGACCGATCTCCTGAGGGCACTGAGGAGAGACGGGCACCATGTAATGCGGTGTACACCGCTCTTCCCCAGAAGGACCTGCCCTCCGAGGTCCTGAGCCACAGCATCAGAACTCTCATAGCTGAAGTCTCCTATTGAAAACGACGGCCCTCAGACCCACGTCATCTGCTAGGAAGACTAGACCAGAGCCTGCTCGGGGCAGGACCCAATGAAGCACACTTGGCAGGGGCTCCCACACCGCCAGGTGACCTCCTAAGGGAACCAGTCTCGCGAGACTGGCCTCTGGTGCGCCTAGAGCAG